CAAGTACCCACAGGGAGTGTGTAAAACTTCACTATCCTTACTCATGTATGAATAGATAGGTAATGTCTGTGGATGCTAGATAGCTCCTACGGCCGTTCACAATCGATGCGAAGCCCTTTTGCGACGGAATTTGCGAAGGCGATTGCATGGTTTTACCAACGGAGGTCGGCACTGATTGGCTCTCAGAACCTAAATTTGCGACCGAATATTGGAACAGTTGCATGAGCCTGTCGCTGGGTTATAGGCATGCAATGCTACTTTGCAAAGCACAATAATTACTGCAAATTACTTTTTTGGCATACAAAAGTATTGTGATATGCTGAATTTTATAGAAAAGTATTATTTGCAGTACTGTAAAAGATATAGTTTTGGAAACAAATACCAAAACTATGTACACAGATCACCGAGTGAATGCGAGACTTTTGTTGACATTTCTTCAGGCTGGAAGTAAGACCGCCTCTATTTTCTACATACGTCTTCTATCAAAAAAACATCGTTTTGGAGGTAAGTTGAAGTAATCGTTGTAGTTTTATAAGACTTGCATTGTGATTATTTTGATATTCAACCACTAAGAAGTTAATATATACGATAAATAATCCAATGTAAATACAAGGGTTTATTCATAATTCAGCTTCGACCTGTGTAGGTAGAACATTTGTACCCGGACAACAATATTGTTTTTAAGCAAGAGATACATATTTTTATAAAATAGAGCGTTAACTTAATACTGGTCTACAGATATATAAGGCAATTGCCAACAAAAAATCACTCTTTTAAATTGAAGTATTTATCATTGCTAAATTAATGTCAATTATCAGCCTATTTATCTGAAGTAGAGATTAAAAAAAAAAAAAAAAAAAACATAGCATGGTCTATTGTAAAAAAGAAAAAAAAAAAAAAAAAAAAAAGCATGGTCTATTGTAACTTCAGCCTTTATGATACACTCTATTTATGGAATGTCTTATTGGAAACTATTTTATTTTGAATGTCCACAATTTCTCTTCTCTCTTTTCCATTGTCTTTCTCACTCACTCTCTCTTCTCTCCCCTCTCTCTCTCTCTCTCTCTCTCTCTCTCTCTCTCTCTCTCTCTCTCTCTCTTTCCTCTCTCTCCTCTCTCTCTCTCTCTCTCTCTCTCTCTCTCTCTCTTTTGTCAAAAAATTATTGATGGTGGCAGTCATCATTTGGTAGTTCTTCGTTATAAAATAAGATTTAAATACATTTAGATAGATATAACTTGTGGTATATTAATGCATATAAAATCATTGAATTTTATATTTACGGTAGATATTGGCATATTCTAGTGAGAATATATATACAAAAGCTATTACCAGTTTAATTTTGATTGGATATATTATTTTGTAAATGTAAGTTTCTAATTAGGCTATATAGTCACCTTATAAATTTAAAGATAAGTACATTACCAGATGTTATTTTATTCATAATATTGTCACATATTTCAGAATGGATCATTTGCAACATTTGCAGCATTTGCAGCATCTGCAACATCTTGCTGCTTTACAGAGAGCAGCCACAGTTGAAAGATATGTGGTACGTGATAGGATGAATCCTTTTCAATCCTACAGCAACAAAGAATTCATTGCAAGATATAGGCTGACTAAAGAGTGTGTCACTGAACTGCTAGAGACTATCAGACACCATCTAGCAATAGTTCATAATAACAGAGGTGAGCATAATATGTATCTTAATATGGAACATAAATTTTTCTGAAAATGTTCTAACACTTCAGTTCATAAAATACACTTAAAAACACTTATTTTAAAGTGTATAAATCAATATTTCTCTCCTTGTTCTTGCATGATGTGTAGGCCAAATTTTATATATATGTATGTTATATAATGATACCTATTTTATTTCACAGGTAGCCCGATCCCACCTCATCTTCAGCTAACCATAGCTTTGAGATACATGGCAACTGGTAATTTTCAGCTGAGCATGGCTGACTGTTCAGATGTGTCCCAGTCCAGTGTCAGTAGATGTGTCTCAACTATTGCAGCCAGGATAGCAGAACTGGCACCTAAGCACATCAAGTTCCCAGAGCCAATCAATGAAGAGACCATCATGAGCCAGTTTTCTGTGATTGCTGGAATGCCAGGTGTAATTGGGTGTATAGATGGAACACACATTCCAATTAGAAGTCCTGGTGGAGTAGATGCTGAACTGTACCGATGCCACAAGGGATTCTTCTCTTTGAATGTGATGGGTGTCTGTGATGCTTCCCTAAAATTTTTAAATGTTATTGCTAACTGGCCTGGTAGTGCCCATGACTCTCGAATTTTCAATGAGTCACTTTTATGTGAGGAGCTGCGATCAGGCATTTATAAAGGCTTTCTGTTGGGGGACAGTGGGTATCCTTGTAGGTCCTACATTCTGACTCCTTTTGGTAATCCTAGTACTGATAAGCAGAGTAGGTATAATTCCTCCCATGTCAGGACTAGGAATACTATAGAGAGAGCATTTGGTGAGCTTAAAAGGAGATTTGCTGTCCTATCTATACCAATGAGGACTAAGTTGGACACAAGCATAAAAATCATTATGGCTTGTGCAGTTTTGCACAACATTGCAATTGACTATAGAATTCCATTAGATCTACCAGATGTCCAACTTGATCCTCAAGATGCCCCAGATATCAGAGCCCAGGATGCGCAGGAAGACAATACCCGGAGAAATTTTATTGTTGATTCTTTTTTCTAAGATTACGAGAAATCAGTTTTTCATTTTATATATTTGCCAGGTAAAATATATTTATTTATTGTATGAAACCATAATGAAGAAAAAATATTTTTGTTCATGATGTGGATTGTGACGCTAAGCCAGTAGAAAGGCTATTTGATTTCTCAAGTGACACAAAGTTATTTTCTTACTTTTTAGTTCTAGTCAGTGCTGGTCTTTAGTAATAATAGATTTTTCATATGGAGAATTATTTGGTATATTATTTCATAAGGATTATATTTTTAATTATTGATAGGCTGTTTGGAGGTTCATGTTTTGTTTACCTGAATAAAGTATATGGTGACTATGTTTTGAATTTGCAAGGTCATATCAAAGTTACATGTTGCCATTCATTATGTATTCTTTATTCAAATTTAAATTCAGTAATGAAGCTTGATATAAGGAAACCAATACAAATTCATATATTTGATGCAAAAGTTTGTCTTTTAGATATAAATTTAGCTTATTGATGAACATAAAATGTGTTATAAATGGTAAAGTAAATTACAACTAAAAACGTGCTTTGGGCTTTGCTATATCTATGATTTCTTACATTGATTGATAAATAAATGTGTGAAATATAATTTCCTATGTAGATTTTTAATATCGATAAATAAATGTATGTAAAGTTTATTTCTAAGTAATTCTCCTACTGCTTCAGAGAGTAATTGATTCATTGATTATCATTTTCTGGTAAGTATAATGCATTTATAGAAGCACTGTGAAATATATAAAATAAAGTTGCATAGGTATGAACACATATACAGTATGTTTGTGTTTGGTAAAAATTTATAATATCTGTGAAGTTGTATGAGAATAAAACATATCTTCAAAAAAATATTTATTTTTCTTAATACAAAATGAAACACCTTTTCTTTTATCACAGAAACTTGTTATTTTTTCTTATTTCACATATTTCTTGTTATCACAGAAAACACATATTTACAATTATTACAGAAAAACAATCCTTTTTCCTTTCCACAAAAAATGTTTTTTCCTTTTCCTTTTCCACACAAAAAAATACTTTCTTTCCCTATCACAAAAAAAAACACCAAAAATTACTTATTCAAACTAAATTAATGTTTTTCTATGTCAAAAAAAAAAAAAGAAATCACAGGGAAAGGAAATGATTTCTACTTTAGGGTAAATCCATATGAGATCAACCACTGAGAAACCCTCTACATCACAGATTGTTCAAATTTGTTACATATATTCTCTTGGGTGTGGAAGACCCAAATTCAAATTTAAAGTCAATCAGGCTTTTGGGGACAAATTTAAGAGAGTTTTGAAAATTATAGTATTTCAGGGTTTCATGCTGCCCCCTAGAAGGAAAAATGGTAGTATTTTCTTTTACAATAACCCCAGGAAGACCAGTGAAGGCTCATTTTGAAGCTCTTTGATATAACCAAAAATGCATTTGGACTAGTGCTAGGGAAAGTAAGTTATGAAAGGTTTGTTTTTCAATTATATTTCATAACATACTTTCCTTAGTATTGGTCCAAATGTATTTTTGGTTATAACTCAGAGCTTCAAAATGAGCCCTCACTGGCCTTCCTGAGGTTAGTATAAAAGTAAATACTACCATTTTTCCTTCCAGGGGGTTGTGGGAAACCCTGAAATACTTAAATTTTCAATACTTTTGTAATTTTTTCCCTATAATCATGATTGACTTCAAATTTGGAATTTGGATCTTCCACATAAATAGAATATATGTACCAAATTCAAACAAAATCCTATACAATGAGGTAATATTCTTTATCTTACTCTTGTTGATTTCATATGGAATGACCCTTTTACTACAAAGCAAATGATTTCTTTGCAGAAAACAAGTAAATTTTCCTTTATCTAAAAAATAAAGTAATAAAATAACATTGATGGTAATAAATAATTACCAAACATCACATATTGTGCTGTTGCCTAATTGACTCGGCAATCATCTTGTAAGCTTCAGCCATGCTTGTATATGCCTCATTACCTGCATCTAAAAAGCGTACAAGCCTACCAGACAGTGCTTCAATGTATTGGTCAGCATTGTCCAACAGCCAGTTTGCCCTTGCATATAACTGCATTTGCGCTTGGTGTTGTTCCTCCAATCTCCTCTCCTTCTGTCTAAGGAAGCTTTCCTGTCTCTCCTGGGCCTTCTCAAACTTATCTTCCTGTACAGTCCTCTTCCTCTTCTTTGGAGGTTCTGGGACTGGAGTCTCAACAGTACAGGATGAAAGGGTGGTGACAGGTGAAGGAGAAGGTGTTGTCGGAATTGGTGAAGGAGAAGGTGGGACTAGTGAAGGGGAAGGAGTAGAAGGAATTGGAGAAGGTGTTGGGGGGACTATGGAAGGTGAAGGTGTAGGTGGAATATATGATGCAGAAGGGAGATGGGGAAAACTAAGGAAGGACGAGGAAGGATTGGAGTGAAAAGGGTTAGTGGAGGCAATGGTTGAATAGGAAAAGGGATTAAGGGAAGAGGCTGGAACAGGTAGTGCTCTTGGGGTTAAAAATGCAGAAATTATGTTTACGAAAGTCAACTGAAGAATACATAAAACCATACTTAACAGTTTTTTCTTTTCAGAGAAAATATTTCATTACTTAAAAATACATCTAACTTATAGATCATTGCATTGTTAGAGGTATGGAAAGCCTGGGCATAGATATTTAATGTAAGATACAATAAATACAGGACAAACAATATTTGCAATAGATATTTGGTAAATCAAGGGATTCAAATTTAAAAATGAACTTGTTTTTTTCACAATAGTGTATGCTGCATTTACAATTATTTTCAAAATTATTGGATGTACAAATAGCCTGTGACCCCCATAAACCCACCTGGGATGCATTCTTGGCAGATTCAAATATACAGCCAAGACAGAGCTGAATAAGCAAATATTAAATGAACATTGCTCTTAGACTCCGTGATTTAACAAATATTGTCCAAATAATGAAACATGCAGATCAAATTTCAACCAAAACATTAGAAAGGAGAGCCAGTTATGATTTGCAATTTATAACATGGTTGTTATCTAAAATAATTGTACATGAGAATGGCTATTAGTAAAATAATAAGTGTAAGTGCCAAACCATTAGGAAATCAATCTATTATTGGCCTAAAGTTGATAACTGTCAGTGCTGGGGGATGGATGCCATCTGTCATCTGTGTAGTAAAATTGAGCAAAACTAAAAGTATTTCATAACATGTCTCCCATTACATAACCTTCTTAGGTCTTTTTTATAACTACTGCAAATGAAATGATGACATATGTTCGTATGACATAAAAGCTTAGATGACATTCATTTGGCTGACAAAATTGTTGTTTATGCTGTTGTTTATTTCTCTGACTGCCACCAATTCAATTTATATTTGGCCTCAGAGAGAGGTAATTACAATTTATTATTTCTTTTAATTCCCATCTTCAATATTAATTTATATAATTTAGCTGGTCATGACAAGAATGCATGAATAAGGGTGGTTTCATAATTTTGAAGACAGTTACCAAGTAGAAATTTCTTTCATTGAGTTTCGGGATATATGATTAACCTTCCCAAAAGCATTGTTATGGAGTTCTTATCAAAATGACGCCTAATTTCCTTGAACTCGTTGCCAATTCCAAAATTATTTAGACCGATCACATCAATTCTCCTTAATTGTCCTTAATTGTTTATCATTATTATTATTTCTTTTAAATAAACATACTACACCATATACTCAGAATGAATAATAATCTTGCCAGCTTCAATATATCCTTTGAACTTATCTGATTTACAAACATATTTCAGTTATAGCAATGACATTTAACATTCCACATTCTTTCCTTTGCAACCACATGATTTGTTATATTTATATTTAATTATGTTGCGATTAGTTTCATTATTTCTTTTCTTAAAAATAGTATTTGTTGAAACTCAGTTTATATGGCTATACAAATCATGAATCATATACCAAGTGACAATAAGTGAAATAATGTCTTGATTTCAAGGTACAACAAGTAAATTATATATTTTTTACAATGATGATTAATATAACTCAGTTTATAAGACAAACAAATGTTCAAAAGTTATCAAAAAGTAAGTAATACAATATTCAGTCCTCAAATCCTCCCCTTTCAGAAGTTCCTTCCCTTTAATATCAAATTTCTCCCCAATGAATCAATAAGGCCTGGTTGAGAATTAGTGAGCTAAAATGTGATGTAATGAAATTTTATAAATAAACAGTGTTACATACAATATACCTTCGTTTAATGTGGTCCCATGACCACTTGACCTGCTGTGCTTTACTAGGCTCAGATCCTGGGTTTCTTGCACGAAACTCAGCAGCAATTTCATCCCAAATCTTCTCTTTTCTGTTTAGAAGCTTGGGGTCTTGGCTCTTGCATTGAACCACGTCAGCTCTCGGTGATGAGACTCACCAGGCAAAGCTGTTGCCTTTCAGAGAGAGGAACAGCACGGTCTTCTTCTTCTTCTTTCTTCTTTTTATAGGGTTTTAGACTTTGGTGTAGTCTATATCCCCTGGATCCTTTTTCTTTTCTATTCTTTCTTTTATATGATCTCCGTTAATTTGTTTTTTCTTAGGAAGATTTTGGTATGTCTCAGGGTGTAGTAGTTTTCTGTTGGGGAGAGATCTGCACCTGTAAATAGTAAGTCTATATTAGGGTTGCTTATTTTGATTTTTCTTAGTGCTTCTTTTAGGCTTGTTCTTTTGGAATGGAATAGTGGACATTGGAGTATTATGTGTTCTATTGTTTCTTCTTCAATATGACACCATCTGCAGAGTGGATCATTTGTAATTTTCATTTTATGTAGATGTTGTTTTCATCTTGTGTGTTTAGTTTTTATTCTTCTTATGCATACATCAATTTTTCTGTTTTTAGATCTCGTCCATGGTTGAGGATCTGTGTTTTTCACCAGATAATTTTTTGTTTTGAGGATTGTGTTTAACTGTCTTTTCCAGTTGTTTTGTTTTTTTATTTTAATTTGTTCAATTTGTTTTTTTGTGTCTTCATGTATGGGTATGGTATTTGTTAGATTGTGTGCTTTTTTTGCTGCCTGATCTGCTATTTCATTACCTTTTATGTTTTTGTTTTAGGTATCCATTGTAAGATTATTGTATGTTTTTGTTTTACTAGTGTGTGTATGATTTCTTGTATTTCGAATATCATGTGCTAAAATTTTTTTTGTCTTGAGTTGGATATTAGAAGTAGAGCAGATTTTGAGACTGAAAATATTTGTGATTTCAATAATTTATTATTCTGAATATATTTTAAACCTTGTTTTATAGCAAAAAGTTCAGCTTCTATTATTTCAGTATTGTTTGGTAGTTTCCATATTGTTGTTATTTTTTTTCTTGAATGTAAATTGCTGCTGAAGTAGAGTTAATACTGTTTATTTTTGAGCCATCTGTAAATATTTGTTTATAATTTAGGTATTTTGTGTTTTCTAACATTGCATAATGTGATTTTATTATTTGCTCTGGGAGATTTTTTTCATGATAGTCCAAAAATATTGTATTTATATTTTCAAAAATGTTGTACCATGCTGGAATGGGAGTTGTATTTGGCACTGCTTTTGTTTTTTTATTTATTTGTAATTCCTTACAAGTTTCTAAGACTATGTGTATTAAGCTTCTTTTGTCTTTTATGGGG